ATATAGTTTCTTTATTTCTCTTTGTCTGTCTGCTTTTGTCTTTTTGGGATAAAAGTGTAAAATATAGACAAAGCCAAAATAAATGGCAACGAAAAAGTGAAAAAATTTTGTTTTACATATATTTTTTTCCTTCAAGTATAATATATACAAAATAGATTATGAAAAAAAGCAATAAGGAACAACAATGAAAAATTGTTTCTTATTATTCGTGAATCTTTGAGACAGAACAATTCCATCCTTTACCCACACCCCACAACTCCGATAGAAATATTCCATTTACTCTGAACAACAACCCACCAAACCCCACAGAACCTTCCCTGACTCCACCTTACCCCACTTATAATTAGGACAGCTGTTTCACACATACAAACACACAGACATACATACACACACAACTAATTTTTTTATCATATATTACAAATAGACGTTATTTTAAATTTTTTGAAAATAATGGCTACACAAAAAAATGTTAAAAAAACAGAAATAACAATATGAAGTATTTTTGAAATTATTTTAATCATATTCCTAAATGTATCATTAATTTTTTATCTTTGTTTTTTTTTTTAAATACTTGGAATCAGACTTGATTCAAAATTTGAATATTTTTAAAGTTCATTAGTATATATACAACATATGTTACAGTAGCACCTTTTTCCAGAATTTGGTACTACATTTTCTGAGAAACCATTTATTTTTATTCAGTATGTCTTAGTAGGGCATGTATGAGTAGTGTAACAGTTATCATCACAGTAAATAGAACCAGTGAGCTAAGTTCAAATCCCAGCTGAATCTATGATATTCGCTTTTGTACTAATACCTTGTAGAAAGGCATGAATCCATTTTTCCCAGTAGTGGGTTAAATAGTAATGTGGACTGGGCTCTTTAGCCTTGGATGACATCCACTCTAGATGAATGACAACTATGGATTCCAATCCATGAAGAAGGCGACAACAAATGTCTTCACTAACTCTTCCAAAGTGTCCTGGTAATTCACAGATAATAATGTAAAGGAACTCGTGGAGAGCCATAATTGCCTATGTCCTGAAAAAAATGACTTTAAAAAAATGTTAGCAACAGTACATCATAAAAGTAAGAAATAGGGACTAAAATTTACATTTATAAAATGCAACATAGATTCATTCATATATATATATATATATATATATACACATACATATATATATATGAACCAACTTATACCAACAAATTTATACCAATGACTTCCCATACTTAATACTTCTCATTTTCAATCTCACATGGTCATGTGTGACATTATGAGCTGCGGTGTGATTTTCGCTTCCAGCATCTCGTTTGCACGAGTTTGTCATTGCTTGGAAATCTTCCATGTAAACAAAAACAGACTATTATTATTGTTTTTTCCCTGTATTGTTTAATATATTGTAATGTAATTGTCATCTTTAATAATGGATTATGTAAGCCAAAAGCTTAGATAGGATTAAAAAATTTGTATCAATACTGTGATTTTCTTTCTTTTTAATGACAATGTTATTAAGCTTGTCAGACAATATGAAAAGAATTTACATAAAATAAATAGACAAAACTTGTCCATATTATTTAATGAAACATGCATCAATGAAAAAATGCTGCCCAAATACACACACAATATATATATGTGTATATATATATATATATATATATATATATATATATGCACATACACATTAAAGACAACAAACATTTTGTGTTGATTAATTTTAGTGATAGACTTTTCCAAATTACAAATAGTCTTTTCGGTCAAGAAGGAAATTCTGTCAGAAATTGTTCAATGGAATTTCCTCCTTTTCTGAGAAGGATTATTCATAATTTTGAAAAGTCAATCAGTAAGATTAATTGACACAAAATGTCTGTTGTCTTTAATAATATTTGCCTTAAAGAAAATTTTTCTACCTAAATACACAGAATATATATCAACATGTTTTAGTGGACTCAACAATTTTCAATCTGCTTGTCTGAATCATCTTCAAGAAGTGAGAGCAAGATCTAAAAGGTCAGCCAATCTAACAGTGATCTCATCTCACAATCCTCACACTTGCTCCATATGTGGCCTCCTTTGTAAATCACTAGCAAGTCTTAAATGCCACTTAAGATTATCACACAAAATTTCATAACTGATAACATAGCTGTCAGATCCTCATACGTCAAAACCGACAGGGAGAGGCCATTTATATATATATATATATATATATGCACCCAGGGTGTATATTTGTGTGTATGTATTTTTTTTTTAAGCTTTTTACACCAAGCAAAAAGGCGGGAGTGCCACTAGCATGCAAGTGAAAGTGAGCAGGAGTAAAGAGGTGTGTTTGAGGAAAGGATATAGAGAAGGACAGAGATCAGGATCAAAGCTTCAGAAGATGTCAATTGACATTACATTTGAATATTTAAAGATTATAGCTATCAGGGAAGCAAGTAGGAAGAAGGGAGTTCCACTGACAGGAAGTGCGAGATAAGAAACTGTTGAATTAGAACATACAGCTACATTTAAACGTTTCAACAGTAAAAGGGTGTGATGAGATGCCAACCTAGTAGCATACTTAAATTCATTCAGTTTGGGAACCAGTGAAAGTAGCTCATCAGAGCAGTTCCCATGAAAATAATTGTAGAAAAACAGAGAAAAGCCACAGAATGTCTGTGAAAGAGTGATTGTAGATGAGATGTCAGATTAGGACCTATCACGTTGTCTCTGGATTTTGTCAAGGACATCAAGATGAACAGCGGGAGCACCAGACAATATATACATATATATATGTTATGGTATAGAGGCCTTTATTTCCTCTCAGGGCAAAATTAACATGGTGGCTCCTGAGTGACCAAATTTCAAGAGAAGGACCACTCTAAACACTTCACCTGTTTTCAGTGGTTTGCCTCTCTGTGTGTTACACCCAGAAATGGGTGTTGTACTGGAGAGACTAAACTCCATGACAATAACACTTGCAATCCCCATAACTATTTTATTATTTTTTTTTGGCTTGTCACTGGACATCTGGGGATGAAGAGGAGGGTATATGTATAACACAAGCATATACCACTACTATTTACATGTGTTGTTGTCATCTCTTTGCAAGTCCCATGGTAGTGGAGGAGGGGCAACATGTGCAGACTTAACCATCTGGAAATACGTAGCCATGAATCTACATGTGGCTAACTTGAAACTTATTTTAATGTCACCAAACTGTCAGTCAGTCGACTGGCTGATCGGTTGAACTCTCTGCCTTTGGGCGGGGAGGAACCCGAAAGAGGCTACGCCAAAGGGCGGATTCTCGTTTGGGGAGGTAAACCGACCCTGAACCCGTTTATACGGGTTCAATGGGCATATTTTTGGCCAAGCCCATGGGCTCGGAGAGTCCACGTTAAAAAGGCCTTGTGCCACATGACGCCCTCGTGGGGGGGGTGACTGAATATCGTCACCAAACTGTTGACTGAACAAAAACATGTTTTGACAATGTCTTGAGCAACTTGCAACACTTTATAGGGAATCACTGTGTACCCAGAACACACAGGAAAGTGTTGGTTTCAGTCCAATTGGGAGTAACTGCAAAGCACTTGCCACTCCCCATTTTATAAGCAGAAGCACACAAATGCATTTTTCCTAGGCTGGACCTCAGTTTCATCTGACTCAGTTCTGGTCTGTCTTGTCTTGAAGTCAGAATGTTACGTCTGCTTGTCCAATCTTGCTTTTGTGTGTCAACCCTAATTCTTAGTTTGTAAAATTTTTGCCATATTACTGTTGCTTTGGCTTATTAATGTTAATTTGCTTTGCATATATTGTTTAGTTGCTTTAGATTATTTTTTGACTTGTTCTTTTTTTTCTTTTTCTTGTTATTGCTTATTGAAAACTTTGTCAATTCTGTTTGTTGCAGAGTTCTGTTACTTGTCTTGCATTTGACCATGTCTACTCACTCCACAGGTTATGTCTAGAAAAGGTGAAAAGAAAATAAGAAGATATTAATGAAGAGAAAGAACAATAAAAGAAGACATTTCCAGAAGACAGAAGATGGTGATTGACACTGCATTTAAATTACTGTAATGGTATTGGTTTAGCTAATAGCTAATTAATATAAAAAATGCTATAACTATAGCTCATGGGCAACTTCGAGTCAGTGTAAATAGAATATCTATGGCTACTAAGTTTGATCATCATAACAAAATAGTGTCACCTAACATAGCTCTGTTGAACACAGAAGAACCTAAAAACAAAGAATTGGATGCTAAAATGCTTTGAGTCACATGCTAGAATAAAGAAGTTATGAGATGACCAAACACCTGAAAGAAATCATGGATCTATTTTTGGCCAATGCAGAATTTGAAGCCATTAGGTAGATTTTGTTAATGACTTACCAGGTGAAATTGAAAATATATGGTATAAAAGTAATAAAGAAAACAAACTGGAAAACGTGATTTTCATAATGAAAAACGGATACAACATTAATATGCAAGAATGGTAAAAATATTGTTACCCATGCAGACCAGTTAAGAGCTAGCGACAATTACAAGGAAGTACAAAGTGAAGCTATTTCAAATGACTATGTAGATGAACAAGAAAGCAAGGCAGAGGAATCAATGGATGATCAAAGTTCTTCAGAAGACTCAGAGTACAAAACATAGGACACTGAAAATAAAAGAACTGGATCAAAAGGTTCCCCCCCACCATAATAAGAAATATGTATGAAACCAGTGAAAGGAGGAGGGAATGTAGAAGAAGCTGTACATCCATGGAGGGTGTGAAACCCAAAAGATTTAGAGAGTTGTAATGTGATTGGTTTAGCTAATAGGTAATTAGCATAAAGAGAGCTATAACTATAGCTCATGGGAAACTTTGAGTCAGTGTACATAGAATATCTACAGCTACTAAGTTTATTATAACAATTACTAAGATCATAAGTGACAGACAAACAAGAAACTGAGAAAGAATTTCACATGAGAGAAGTGTAAGAAACCATTAGAATAGAACTTAGATTTACATCTAGCTAATTTGGGGCTTATGGCCATATCATGGTGAAACACTGGTTCTCATATGACCACCAAAGTTAAGCAGCGTTAAGCCTGGTCAGTGCCTAGATGGGTGATTGCTTGGGAATATCAAGTGCTTTAAGCTTGGATGTGTGGCTGGTGTAATGGATAACAGCTCAGAATTGAAAATTGGAGAGCCGAGTTCCAATTCCAGTTGTGTCCATTATATTCACTTATGTATAAATACCATTAGTAAAGGTATGAATCCACAATATTCATTAGTAATTATTTAATTAATTAATTAGTAGGACTTGTATCAGTAAATTATTATTATCTCCCCACCTCAAATTCTTATAATCTAAAAATATTTTCTGGCTTTAAATAACCTGCAAAGGATTGATAAACTGTAAAAAATATCAATCTAGTTATTTTGATAGTAAAATGGTAAGACCTAGTTGCCAATCTAGTAGTATGCTTAAATTCATGTGGTCAAGGTACAAAGGATAAAAGCTCATTAGTACAATTTGAGTCATCACTGTATGCTTCACTATTGTGCTAGAAATTTCTAAGAACTTAATGCCTACTTTGTCTGAGATATGATTTGGCTGTGCTGATGAATAGAAATTTCTGGCTCTGAACAGACTGTGATTTTGAAAAGCCTTCAGCATTTAGAGATTTTTCAGAATATCTAGTTCATGATGCTTTTGTTGGAATCCATTCTAAAAATTAGTCCTGAATATCTATTGACAGTTACAATTATCTGGATGACATGCTTGGCAGAAAATGATTGTATGGCTTCCACATGCAAATTTAAAAAAAAACTAAAAAAAAAACACTTTCTTTGTTTTCTCTATTTATATTTGCTTTGTATAGCCTTTGAAAGTTTATGATTAATTGCATTTATGCCTCAAAAACTTTTCTTTTTTTATACTAGTCACATTTGTAACATGATACATGATCAAGAAATGATCTCCAAAATGCTTTCCTCATCAACTCTGTTGATGGAACAAATTATGGAGATTAGCAAGCCTGGAAATTGGATTTTTATCAGCAGAAGTGTTCAAAATTAAATAAATGAAAAAAGAAAATGCTGACGACTTTCTTCTTGTTTATTTGCCTCTATTGCTTCTATTAAAAATTAGGCTTCGTCACATTATTTACATATGTTATATATTTGTTGGTCTGAAGTGGGGATGTATTTTCATATATGCCAGATTCAACTTATACCTTTATGTATATGTATGTAATTGCTTTTGACTGTGATTATATAGTAGCTGAAAAGTTTAAAATTCCATTGTACACTATTTTATTTTTAGTTTTAATCCACTTTATTATTATTATTATTATTATTATTATTATTATTACATTTATTTCCTTTGATTTCTGGCGTTTACACATTTCTTTCCGGGTCCGGCCCAGGGACCTAAGGTTAGAAATGGCATCATGACACTTTCCACTGACAAAAAAAAAAAAAATTACATAGATAAAGCCCTTCGTAAAGTGTGAGTCGTACTTGTCAGAACAATTTTTTGTATCTCCTTGAGGCATGGACTTCCAGAAATCCATTCAATTAGTCTACTGGAATCTTTTCCAACCAATCCTAGGGCTCCAACTACAAAATGGATTGTTGATGTTCTCATGTGCCACATTTTTGAGATTTCTATTTCAAGGTCCTTGTATGTTGACAGCTTTTTGAATATCTTCAAAGATACATTGCAATCAGCAGGGACTGTCATATCAATAAGGAGACACTTTTTTGTTTGTGGTCTTTAATAACAATGTCTGGGCGGTTGGCTTTGATTGTTCTGTCAGTGTGTATTGTGTAGTCCCATAGAATTGTAACAGGTCCTATCTCCATAACTGTATTATTATTATTATTATTATTATTATTATTATTATTATTATTATTATAAGTAAAAAGCAACAATAAAATAGAATAAAACTAGTAATAAGTAATGTGTGTATTGACTCAGAGTATTTGATAAAAAGTAAAGGTGATAAGATAGAGTAAGACTAGTAATAACTTTTTAATTTATTTTAATCATCTAACCCCAGGCAAGGTGATAATGCCACTAAGATACAAAGAGTTACTGAAAGTGAAAGAAAATGAGATGACATTAGTGAGGAGAAAGGACAATAAAAGGACAGGGTTCAGGAAGACAGAAGCTGGGTGACTGGCATAGCATTTAAATCTTTTATGACAATACAAGACACCAGAAGACATTACCACTAGCAAGAACTGTGCTGAAAGAAATTATTAAAATAGAACTTAAAAGTACATCTAGCTATTTTAACAGTAAAACAATGAGATCTAGTTGCCAAACTAATGATTAATTCATGCAATTGTGGTATCAAGAAGGAAAACTTCTTCAGAATGATTGCCATGAAAATATTTGTAGGAAAAACAAATGGAAGCCATGCTATAGTGGTGAGAAAGTAACTGAAGTCAGGACTGATAACATTACAAACTCTTTGGATTTTGTCAAGAATCTTGAGATATAAAGCAAGAGCACCAAACCTATGGCAGCAATACTGAATGCAATCCAAGTGGTAAATTTATAAATGTGTAAAACAGATTCTGGTGAGAAAAAGTATATTTATCCACTGTACTTGATAAAAAGCAAAAATAATAAGATTAAGTAAATCTAGTAATGAAGTAATAGTAATAATGAAGTGTATTGACCTAGAATGCTGGAATCAAAAGCAGCAATAAGGTGGGGTTAAATTTAATAATAAAATAATAGTAATAATGAATAATGAGGCATGGTGGAGTAATGGATAGTTGATCAGATTGATGATTCGGAGAGCCGAATTCAAATTCCACTTGAATACATTATATTCACTTACATGCTAATACCCTTGGGAAAGGTATGAATCCTCTTCTTCTCCCTCCAGATATGGCCAAATAGCAGGACAGACCAGTTTCTATAGCCTTGGATTGCAACTGGTCTACTGCAGAAAGAAATGGCAACTTACTGCCGGAAAAAATCTATCTTGTCAGTCATGTATTGAAAGATACCTGATCGCCTATGCGTGTATCATGCATGGCACATAACTGACTGAATAATGAAAAGTTTACTGACCAAGAGAGTTGTGGTAAAAAGTATCAATAATAAGATAGGGTAAATCTAGTAATAAAATAATAGTATTAATAAACAGTATATTGACTAAAAGCATTGGGATAAAAAGCAACAATAACAAGATCTAGTAAAACTAATAATAGAATACTAAAAAATTTTTGTCAAAACATTTTTAGAAAATAAATTTTATAATATACATTTGCATTTTAGGAAGAGCACAAAATAATTAAAACATCTTAATAATATAAAAAATACATTAAAAAAAATAATAAAATTCATAAGCCTAAATTTTCAAGAATTTCTAAAAGACTTTATTTTAGTGAAAAATATATTTTTTACTTATTCTTTTATGTGGCTAGTGTAATGGCTGGCAGTTTGGAACATGAACCCAGAGAGCCAAGTTTAAATTCTGGTATAATTTCTTACATTCATTTTCACACAATACCCTTGGGAAAGTATGAATCCATTTCTTCTCCCCACCCCAGCTAGGGGGTGAATAGCAAGGCAGACTCGGCTCTGTAGCCATAATTGGCAACCAGTCTAGGAGAAGGATAACTCTGGATTCAAAATGCAGCCACCTGAAGCTGTACAAAGATGGTTAAATATGGGGTGCAGATACTATGCTTGTAAAACAAAAAACAAAATAGATTTTAATAACTTGAGAGCCATCATCCAGAATGTTGTTGACACCAACAAACCCAATAAAATGTCATGCTAATATTACTTTCCTATTTTTGTTTGAAAGTATACTTATCACTTTTACATTTTGAAATAACCTGGTTATCAAACTATAAATAATAATTTGAATAAAATGCAATATTAAGTTTTCAGTGGCTAAATACTGACTGCAAGAAGCATATTTAAAAAACTATTGGTCTCTGGAAATGCGAGAAACAAAATGCATGTAATTTTAAAGTTTTCTTTCTGAAGTATCTGTCTATATTTCTGAGATGAGGTATTATGTACACTATGTACATTATTCGGACTATTGTCCTCATCTTTGTCTCCATATTTATTACAAAGTTTCGGCCGTTGTACGCTTCAGTCTTCTTAAGTATCTGTCTATATTTCTGAGATGAGGTATTATGTACACTATTTACATTATTTGGACTATTGTTCTCATCTTTATCACTAAAGGTTTTAAGTGATTAATTCAACAATTTTAAATTCTTGTTTTCAGTTTCTATGTCTGTTGCTGTTTCTATTGTATGAATAATTGGCTTTGATATTCTTTCCCATGGTTTAATTATTCTATGCTTGATAGTCAGCCATAGTTTTTTCTGTCCTTTCTGTTTTAATAGCTGAAAAAGTAGTTCATCTAACTCATTAAGAGTATGATTTATTATTGCTTCACATGTTATTGCTTATTGGTATATGAGTGTATACTTGAAAATGACAAGTGACAATGCAAAAAAAAAAGAAGCCCATTGAGAATGGCTATTGCAAGCCAAAAGTACAAAGGCATTTGACGACATATTTACACATAAACTAGAAATCAGAAAACATATATATATATATAACATATTGGCAGTCTCATTCATTTTCAGGAACCAATGTGGTGTCTGTTTGGCGGGCAGAATTCCTTTGTCTACATCCTGGTATTCTTTGGTAAGTTTGAAACTCTATGGTGACATCATGTGTAATGGTTATTGAAAATGAGACCACATCAAAAAGAATGTGATTTTATTTTTATATATATAAATATTTATGCTCTTGAAATAATTCAACTGAGCTCTGAGAGAGGAAGGGGTGATATTATATTATATAGTGGCTGCTGTTGTTAATGCAATGCTCTTCAACTAGAATTGAGCTCTCCTAGCCACTGACGTCTTTCATATAGTAAAAATGTTAAAATTTCCCTTTCTCTCTGGTGTGCAATGATAGTTTGGGGATAGAATCTCTGATTGATGTGAAATTGGCCAGGTTTCTAACTTAGCTTGAAACAGTCAGATGTCTAGCCACACTGATGAGTTGTGGTACAGCAAAACAGTCTATCTGTGGATGACTATAAGCAGCTCACTAGAACAATTACGACTGATTAGTGAGTTTGATCCTCAC